AGGCTGGAGTGCAGTGATGCAATCTCGGCTCACTGCAACCTCTGCCTCCCAGATTCAAACGATTCTCCTGCCTTAGCCTCCCAAGTAGCTGGGATTACAGGCATGTGCCACCATGACCGGCTAATTTTTTGTATTTTTAGTAGAGATGAGGTTTCACTGTGTTAGCCAGGATGGTCTCGATCTCCTGCCTTGTGATCTGCCCACCTCGACCTCCCAAAGTGTTGGGATTACAGACGTGAGCCACCATGCCCGGCCTATATCTTTAAAAATCTTAAGCATACTTTTAATATGATCTCTGTCTGATTGTCTTATTTCTTTCCATTCTCATTATGCTAATTCTAGTGTTTTTAGCATTTGCTGACTCTGTTGTTTTGCTATAACTTTTCATGTAGCTTGTAATTTGATTGAGAGCTCATCTTCAGCAGGAGGGATATTTAAATCTTTGGGAGTTCTAAATGCCCCAGTTATTACATTTATATATGAGAGGACCCTGTGAATTTTAATGAAACTGGCCAATTGTTATTATAACTTGGGGTTTCTAGCAATACAAATAGTTTAAATGTGAACTCAATAACCAAACTACAGAGCTGAGAGTTTGATTCCCTATGTATAACTTTATATTTTTCATTCAAAGTCTAGTTCCAATAGCAAATTTCATGGCTTGTTCCACAGTTGGAGAGCACAGGTATTTTGTCTCCCTTTTTATACCTGAGGCAGCCCTTGCAGGTGACAGGCTCTATACAGTGTCACCATCTCAATCTCCCTGCCTTAAGGAGACCCAGGGCCAAATCACCTATTGTTACAGACACTGAGACCTCAGAAAGAACTAGGACCCAAACTCAAGGGGGGAAGTCTTAATGTTTTATAACAGCATTAGCTTTCATCTGTAACTATGGCTATTATTTGTTTATTTGGGACATTTGTGTTATTTTGTTGGTTTGGTTGGTTTTTTTGTTTGTTTGTTTGCTTGTGTGTTTGTATCTTGTTTACCTGTGTTTTAAAAAATCTAAAATGTAACTAGAGGGTACTGACTAAATTTATTCTAGATGTTTTATGTCTTGATTTTGTAAGCATTGAACCAACAGTCTGGAGGACCTGTCTGATATCGTTTGGCTCAGTGTCCCCACCCAAATCTCATGTCAAATTGTAATTGTCGTGTGTCAGAAGAAGGGCATGGTGGGAGGTAATTGGATCATGGGTGCAGATAATCCCCCTTGTTGTTCTCATGATAGTGAGTTCTCACAAGATCTGATGGTTTAAAAATGTGTGGCTTTCACTGCTCTCTCTCTCTCCTAAGAAAGTGCTTGCTTCTCCTTCTCCTTCTGCCATGACTGTAAGTTTCCCGAGGCCTCCCCAGACATGAGGAACTGTGAGTCAATTAAACCTCTTTTCTTTACAATTACCCAGTCTCAGGTAGTTCTTTATAGCAGTGTGAAAACAGAATAATAGACTGTCTTTCATGTCTTCTGCATGTATATTTCTTCAAATTTCAGCATTCCTTTTGCTCCAACATCACATTTTATACTCAAACTTATTTATAGATAAGGAAAGAAGCCTAGAAAAAGAACACCCAAAGTTTAACAGTACTATGGAGCTGACTCAGAAAACACAACCCTCTGATTCATTGAACTTTTTCTTCTAGTCATCAACTTTTAGAATAAGTAAATATTACCAGACAAAGTATGAAAAATGCAGAATTCAGAGTCCCAGCCACAGAGATTCTGATTCAGTAGGTCTGAAATAGAGTCCCAGAATATGAGAATTAAACAAGTACCTCGGTAGGTTCAAATATTTGGAATTTGATTTGTTTAGTGACTTCAGACCATAATTTGAGAGACAAACACACCCGGCACAAGTTTTTTCACACTTGAATTTATACTTTTTAATTAAAAGCAGAGTAAAGAAAAAAATCTATTTAATCAAAGTTTTGCTTATCTTGCTTATAAAAAGTTTATAAAGCTCCCTATTTAATTGTTCACAATATCTTTTCCTAAAGGTGCTCATTTATAAAAATTTATTTGAGCTAAGTCTTATTTTTAAATGATGCAATAAGAAATATGGACTACCCGTGACATTATTTGGAAGCTTTCTGCCAAGATGATCTTGTCTCAAGAGAAATTAGACAATTCCATAAAATTATGTAGGCATAATTTATAGAAAGCTGAGTCAAGAAACAGGTGTTGTTGAAATGATAAACTTGTCATCTTCCTCACTCATAAGTTTCTAGAATATGAGCCTGTAAACTCTAAATCAGATACTGGGCTCATAAAGATTTATGTCATGTATTTCCTTTTCCTGAGAAAGAGGTAGATGATCTACAAATATCTAGCCAGCTGTTCTACAAACCACATGCGTTGACTGAAATTATCAGTGGAGATGCCAATGTTTCAGTGGCTCCAACGTATACATGTCCCAGCACCTGGTTGATGGAAGCCACTCTTACTTGCATCTCTGTGCTAGGAACATGACTACAATGCTAACTAGCGTTCCATTTCCAGATGGCTCCCATTACCACCCAATTATTTTAAACCCTGATTTTATTTCAAGCAATTTACCATTGTCAAGGGTCATCTCCCAGTACAACATTGCTGAGATCAAATATTTTTGGTTCTAGGTCTACGGTTACTAGAGTTCAGGAATGGCCTTTCTTAGAGTGATTGATAGACCATTTAGCAAAATTCATGGATAGACTATAAATCCAATATTAAAATTTTAATAAAAGTATATGTAACTTCTATAACAGTTATTCATAGTTACAATAGTTATTTTTGTTTTATTTTTTAATTTCTAACTGTCCTGATAAACAAGTTGGAAAAAGCAAATAAATCTATTCATTCATTTGCTCATTCATTGACTAATTCTTCTGATATTTATTGAAGACTTATTTTGTGTCTCAGTAAGATGAAAAACGGAATGGACTCTTTCACTCAGATAACTTGCACCCTAGTAGAAGAGAAGAAAATCAAAACTTATTGCCAAAATATTGTAAAAATATAAACAGAAAGACAATGCATATTAGGAGAAAGTTCTAGGGATTTGCATATCCTTTACATGATTAGGCTATGTTTTCGAATCTTAATATTGTTTGGAGATATATGGATTTAAAGAAAGAAAAAATTTTAAATTTGAAATTGGATATAATATACTATTTTGATGGATTCTTTTCTTGTCTAAGTTTTAGTTCATTATAAAATACAGCATACTCATATAATTAACATGCTCCACATTCTATAGGATGTTGTTTACCAGTTTTGCCCATTTTGGGCACCTCTTGTAGGATCTAACGGTAAAACTAGCACACTTTCCTATATTGTGTTTATACAATACACACACTCAGTGCTTTAAGGTTTTTTAAACACGAAATTTTCAAAGGCCTCAAAAGAATTTGGTGAAAAATCACTACAGCCAAAGTCTAGAATGAGAGCTTATGTATATTTAAATATGTAGGAAGATGAAGGGATGTGAGTGTATGTTCATTTTTTCATAAAACTTTTGGGCCACTATTAATACTTTCAGATTTGGGGATTCTTTTCTCTGTATCCCATAGTATTATATTTTCTAGACTATTTTACTTAGGAGTCCCTGCATTAAGGGACTTCCAAAATACTCTTTGCTTTTGTACTTGCTTAAAGTGCATTCTACTTTCTGCGTCTTTATGGGTTATTTTCATTTTTTTAAGAAGGAGTCTTGTTCTGTTGCCAGGCTGGAGTTCCTTGGCATGATCTCGGCTCACTGCAACCTCTACCTCCCAGGTTCAAGCAATTCTCCTGCCTCAGCCTCCCTAGTAGCTGGGACTACAGGAGAGCACCACCACGGCCAGCTAATTTTTGTATTTTTAGTAGTGATGGGGTTTCACCATGTTGGCCAGGATGGTCTCGATCTCTTGACCTGGTGATCTGCCCGCCTTGGCCTCCTGAAGTGCTGGGATTACAGGGGTGAGCCACTGCACCCAGTCTATTAGTTGTTTTCTATAGAAGATGGGTGCTGTTTTCCCTGAATAGAATCTATAAAGTACCACTGTGTTTTTTACTCTATTTCTGGATGTGACAGCTGAGTGAATCTTGGCCTCCATCCTCCTCCTCTAACCTGAGCACTCACTCTCAGGCCTGTGCTCCCTCTGACCACATAAGCCCGCAGTATGGTGAAGTGGGATAAGAACATTTTAAAATGGCTTTTAACCTGGAAGTGTAATTTCCTGGAATCCCCAGATGCATGATTATAATGCTACCTGTGTAACATATAAGTATTTCTCATGGTTATGGCTCAGAAGAATTATTTATTCATCACATCGCACCAATTATCATGAAGGCTACATTATCACATACAATTGTTATTGCTCTCTGAGGGCTACCACTAGAAAAATAAATAAATAAAATTTGATACTAACTTCTCAATCAGATTTCTGGGCCCATATGACTTATAATTTCAATAAACCCTGGAGAGCATGCACTGAGTCATGGCATTAGTAGAGTAATTCATTCCTCATTATTATTAGAATACGGTGACTTAAACCAAGAGCCATTAATCTATTTGTCTTCAGTTATCTTACAATATTAACTGGTTTTGTGAACTTAGAACAGTGTTTACATATGTAAATATCTTCATTTAACTAATGAGTATAATTTCATATATAATAATCAGCTGATCCTGACATACTTTGAAATTTTGAAAATAATTATAAATTATCACTGATATAATTGTAGACTATTCATAGAAGATTCATAGTCCAACTAGACAGTCTATGTTGGTCTTTAGGAAGAATAATTACTTTTTTTTCCCAGAAAGTTGGTTTATGAGTCTCTGTACCATGATTAAGATGTTACTGAACGAAGACATAGACCTGAAGGATCGCTTGTCTTTACCTGTTCTTCCTAATAGAATCTGGGATTTTTTTTTTTTAATAGAAGTGGTTTATTGCTATGAAAGTGAAATATCTTTATTATGGATTTCCTTCTGGTAAAAGAAATTTGTCAATAAACCATAGTGTCTACTCACGTTTCTCCTGTTCTGCTTCCACTCCTTCACTTTCTGTGTCACTTGGCAAGATCCATGGTTGATGAACTACCTGCAGTTGCTTTAAGGATTCATCCTGCCAAAGAACAAATTGATTTTAGATTAAACTCTGTTTTGATATCGTGAACATTAATGTGGGTGATTACTTCAATCTTTATGAGCTGCATCTTCAAAAACTATCAGAATAATTTCCTCATTAAAAAAAGGAAAGCTCTAAGTTTAACTTCATTTTCATGTCATAGATGAACTACAAACTCAACTCATTTTTTACATTCTTCTTTTAATAACATTTAGAGTAAATAAATATCTGAACTGTATTCCTCGTGAATTAATATTTTTGTGGAAATGTTGACACTCATTCTTGGAAACATAATTATGAAATATTCAATATAAACTTGCATAAAACATGCCTCTTTACCATCAAGGTTTCAAATTCCCTTTAATGAGAATGAAGATGAATGGGATTTAGAGAATATCTTCAATTTTACTCTCCTAGTATTACTTCACCGCCTCCTTCCTCTTCTCACTTTCTAAAGTTTGTTAACATATTTCTCATATACTTCCTTGCTGCTCCTTCCCTTCTGTCATTGAACTAAAGCAGATCCTCATTATCTCCCACCCTGACTGTAGTAATAGCCATCTGGGAAACTTTCCAGGATCATGTATCATATCCTGTCTAATTCTCCCAACAGTCACCTGCCAGAGCACGCTTTTTAAGATGCCATATGATGTAATCACTACCTTGCTTATAATTTTTCAGTGTCTCTATCATTATTCCCTGGGTAAGATTTAAAATCAAAGCCCTGCATGATCCATACTTGTCTAACATGTTCTATCACACTACTCTCTCAGGCCCACCTTGACCACTCCAGCTATAATTAACTGATAGCTCTACAATGCATTTCCTTATCTGTCTTAAACATTAACACTCCTCCTTCAAAGCTCGAGGGTCACTTCTACTGGAAGTCTTCCCTGATCCTGCAAGGCAGAGTTACTACTCTATTCCTCTATGTGCCTATTATACCAATAGAATAATACCATGTAAAACTTATACCTTCATCTCTTCCTTCCTCAAAAAGAATAAGAAAGGTCCTTGAGGTCATAAATAAATTTTTTCACCTATGCATTCCTAGCATCTATTATATCCTTTGCACAAAATAGGGACTTACTGGGTAAACATTCATATAGACGAAGTAAGAAAGAAAAGAAAGGAGAGGATGGATGAAGGATAAAAAGGAAGGAGAGGGGAAAGATGGTTCTCCTCTATAACAAAATAACAACTTTAAATTTAGTGAGGCATGACTCAAGAACATGTTTTCAAACATATTTTGAAAATGAAAAACATAAAATCAATATAATCTGTCAGTTCACTCTTTATCGCTCAAATTCACTCATCATCTCTAACCTCTTTCAATTATATTTTTCTCCAGTATGAGATATTGTGCTTTATTTTTATTCAGACAAATGCCAACAAGGTAAAAATAAAGTTCCACAACACTTGATATTTAAGAAACATGACACCACCAGTCATTAAATGCCCACTTTGTTTAAAACAGTTCATTTATGAGATAAATATTCTATCTGCTATGCCTTTCATTTTGATATCAAATTCTGGAGACGTTCAGCCCCAATCTAGAGTTTCAAAACAGCACAATTTTCCAGAAGTTTGGAAGTGGAGTGGTGGGTTGGCTGTGTGATGCACAGGATATATTTCAGGGCAGTAAAACTATGCTGTGTGATATTATCATGGCAAACGCAAGACATTAAGCATTTGTCAAACCCATAGAATTTTATAGCACAGCATAAACTTTAATGTAGGCAAATGAAAAAAATCAATTAGTAAGTTGGGGAATCCCAGAATGAAACGCAATATACCAAGAAAGAAAGAACATAAATGTGTTACAGATGTATGAAACAACCTCACCGAAGGGGGAGGAAATAAGGTGCTAACCTAACTAACTTTGAAAATGAGTGGAGTTTGTAAGGCCAAAGGCTAAAGGAACTATACATATGCACTGTACTCTAGTTGATAAACCTGCTTTCCATGGGCGTACAGGTTAACAATTCTGAAACAACTATATATGTACTCTGGAAATGAACAGTAAAGTAAATGGATGATGGGAGCCAGATTTCTCACTGCTGGTGTGGCAATTTAGAGATAAGCAGGGAAAGAGGCTAGAATGATCCATGCATAATGTATTAGAGTTGAAGACGTCAGTATGAATTCGTGTTTACCTTACTATATATACAGATGGCTACACATATAAATGTTGATATATATTTCTATTTATTTATTTATTTATTTATTTATTTATTTCTGAGACAGAGTCTCACTTTGTTGCCTGGGCTGGAGTGTAGTGGTGAGATGATGACGCACCTCAACCTCCAGGGCCCAAGCGATCTTCCTGCCTCAGTCTCCCAAGTAGCTGAGATTACAGGTGTGAGCAACCATGTGTGGCCCATATTCATGTATATGCGTATGTTTCTCTACTCTGGCAGCTGAGAAGACTTAGAAGCAATGACACTCAGTAGCAATTAACACACCTACCACCCCAATCTTGGTTTCAAAAATCATTCTCCAATGAAAGAACCGGGATTTCTGGATAAATGATTGGACCCCCTAGGACTGAGGGAGGAAATGTACAAGATAAGGTGGAACATCTGGTAGCTCAAGAAAAAAAAAAGCAAGAAAGTACTCAAACACACACACACACACACACACACACACACAATTATGGAAGTATGTAAGTAAAAAAGATAAGGGACTAACTGAAAAAGCTGTCAGTAGCCAAAGCTAGAACAATTTGAGCAACAAAATAAATAAGCCAGTATTGGGTCATTATCCAAAATATGCAATAAATATCTGTAATTCCATACAGATAAAAATAAATGTTCAAATAAATACATGAATGGATGAGAATAGGCAAATATGTAGACAGAAGCATTTCAAATAATTTATGTAGATTCTCCACCCTTAAGGATGTGGAGAAAAACTTCCCACTTTTTAAGTGTGGGCTGTGTTTAGTGACTTTCTTTCAAACAGTTCAGTAGGGATAGGGAAAGGATAAAAGTAACTTCACGGTGAAGAAACCTGACAAACCTTATCTCCAGCCAGGTGACCAAGGTCAACATAAACAGTAATACGGCATATTGATAGGATGTACACTTGAGAGGATACGATGAAAATTAAATTTTACCTCCGTGGTCTTCCTCCTAAAAACACATTAACCCAATCTAATTATGATGAAAATATCACACAAATATCAACGGAGGAACAATCTGCAAAATATCTGAGCTGCACTCCTGAAAGCCACTGTGATCTTTAAACACAGGGAAAGCTTGGTTGTGAGAAAGGGTCACAACCAAGAAAAGCCTAAGGAGACACAATGAGTAAATGTAATGTGGATCCTGGATGCGATCATGGAAGAGAAAATGACAGGAAAAACTGGTGAAGAGCTGCACACAGTACAGATATGGTTACTAATAATGTATCAATACTGGCCTGTTAACTGTTACCAGTGCCCCATACTAACAAAGCACCAGTAATAGTTAAAACTGAGGAAGAGCCATAGCAACTCTCTGTATTATCTATCTAATAATTCTGTACATCAAAACCTGCCCTAAAAACGTTTATTTTTAAAATTGAAAGTGTGAACCCTAAATATCTGAGATGGTTTTGGTTAATTTAGAAAGTTTATTTTGCCAAGGTTGAGGATGTACGCCTGTGACAGCCTCAGGAAGTCCTGGTGACATGTGCCCGAGGTGGTCGGGGAACAGCTTGGTTTTCTACATTTTAGGGAGACATGACACATCAATCAATATATGTAAGAAGTACATTGGTTCCATCCAGAAAAGTAGAGACAGCTCCAGCTTGAAGTAGGGAGGGGCTTCCAGGTCTCAGGTAGGTAAGAGATAAAAAGGTTGCATTCTTTTGAGTTTCTGATAAAGTAAACTCAATAAACTCTGATAAAGTTCCAAAGGAGGTCATCAGATATGCTTCTATTTCAGTGGGCAGCGGGATGGCTTTGAACAGAGTGGGAGGCAGGTTTGCCTTGAGCCATTCCCAGCTTGAGTTTTCCCGTTAGGTTAGTAATTTTGGGGCCCCTCAAATTTTCCTTTTACAAAAGAAAGCAAAACCAAATTTCAAAATAATTTTCTTTTTTTCTTTCTTTTTTTTTTTAAGACGTGTTCTCTATTGCCCAGGCTGGAGTGCAGTGACACAAACATGGCACACTGTAGCCTCAGATGTCCTGGACTCAAGCCATTCTCCTCTCTCAGCCTCAGGAGTAGCTGGAACTACAGGCACGTGCCACCATGCCTCAATAACTTTTTCTTTTTTTTTCTTTAACTCCTTGTAGAGACAGGGTCTCTCTCGGTTGCCCAGACTGGTCTTCAACTCCTGGGCTTAAGCCATCCTCCCACCTCTGCCTCCCAAGGTGCTGGGATTACAGGCGTGAGCCACCATGCCCAGCCTCAAAAGTGATTTTCATTTTAAAAATAAAAGCACAAGGTTTTTAGCATAAGCAGCTCTTAAAAATGGTCTGTTAATTGGATTAAAACTTAAATTCCTATCTTATGAGAGATAGGCTCCACAGTGGAAACTCATTGTCCCAGGGGTCAGAAGGCACAGCATTTTATCCTGGTGAATCCAAGGCATGTAAAATTCTCTTTTGGGATAGAATGGGATAGTTACCAGATTAGATGATCTCTTGTACTTCCTAAGTAGTATCTACCTAGGTCTGGATTGCTTTAGATAGCAGAAGGTGAGAGGCACTAGACGGGCTATTGCAGGAAAAGTCAGCAAAAAAAAAAAAAAAAAAAGATACTCAATCTTGGAGTATACCATTTAGTGTTTATTGTAAGGACTTAACTTGATTTTTTAAAAATTTATTAATTACTAAATTTGGTCTTGCTGAGCTATACCAAAAAAATAGCATAAGTGTAAAAAATTGTGGATTTAAAATTCCATAGCTGTGTAGAAGATAACAGAAGTAAAATTTCAGAAATGTTTATTTAACAGAGAGGGAAATCACACAGCTGCAGTTTTTAAAAAATGGAACACAGTCTCTGATGTTC